CCAGGACTCAAACTGGCCGCTATATGGGATGTTGGCACTGCAGACCAGGGCTTAACCTGCACACCAGTGCCAACCCCACTTGTCATTTTACATATAGAAAAGTACGCATTACACACATGCACATGTTAACAAATGAATGCAGCCAAGTTGCAATATACAGAGAAACTCAAAAATCAGCTGTATTTCTAGTCATTAGTAATGAATAAACTAAAAAAGAAATAATTTCATTGAAATAGCATCAGAAAGAATAAAATACTTAGGAATTGGTTTAGCCTGTTTCCCATTGCTACAGAGAAGAGCTAAGGCTAGATATTTGGGAAAGAAAAGAGGTTTACTTACCTGGAAGTTTTGGGGCTGCAAGTCTAAGATGGGGGGACTCCATCCACTCCTCCTCTGAGGGGGGAGGCCTCTCCAGACTGCATCACAACACAGCAGGGAAATGATGGGGGGACAGCTGTGTTGGTGGCCTGTCTGTGTAACAACCCGCTCTGGGGCCCGTACTCATCCCTGCACGGGGCCACAGCCCCCCTGATCCAATCACCTTCCACTAGGCCTCCACCTTAGCACTGCCATTCAGAGGGCTGTGCCTCCAGGGAGCCACTTCAAACCAAAGGTACACCATTGCAGGAACAACTTGAACAGACAGACAAGATGAAAGCTAGGTACGCTGAAGGCTATAAAACATGTTGAAAGAGACAAAATAAATGCAAAGGGTTTTGTGTCCTTGGATTAGATTTAATATTGTTACAATCCTAATACTCACAGGGGTCTACAGATCCATTCAAGTCCCTCCCAAAACCCCAATGACATTTTTTGCAGAAATAGAAAAACCTTCCCCAAATTCATATGGAATCTCAAGTGACCCTGGAAAGCCAAACAATATGGAACAGTGAGTGGAAGACTGATTTCCTAACTTGCTGCAAAGCCACAGTAATCAAAACAACGTGATATTGGCAGAGAGACTTATAGATCGATGGAGGCAAACACACAGCCCAGAAATAAATTTGAACAGAGTGAGTTTTAACAGAAGTGCCAAGATCATTCTTAGAAAAGACCTTTTATCTGCCAGTAGTTCCTGAAAAACTGGAAATTCACAGGCAGAAGAATGAACTTGGCTTTAACCTGATCCCAGGTACAAAAAAAACAAAAACAAAAAAAAAACAAAAAAAACCTCAAAATGGATCAAAGACCCGAACTTAAGAGCTAAAACTATAAGAATGCATTTTTTAAAAAAGCATAGGGGGAAATCTTTATGACATTGCATTCGGAAGTGATTTTTTGGATACTGTAGGCAATAAAAAATAAGCAAATTGGACTTCTTGGAAATTGGAAGCTTTTCTGCTTCAAAGCATTCAATTGAGAGAATGAAAGGGAATCTACTGAATGGGAGAAAATATCTCCAGATCATCATATATCTAATAAGAGATCAATATCTGGGTTATGTAATGAGCTACAGCTCACCAACAAAGCAAACAATCCAACCAACAGGTGTACACATACTCTGAGTAGCCATTTCTCCCAAGATCGACAAACCGTGAGAAGGTGCTCAACCTCACTGGTCATTAGATCAAAACCACAGTGGAAAACTACTTCATTCACATCCATTAGGATGGTGACAAACACGACCCTGGAAATGTGTCAATGTTGCCAAGGGCGTGGAGAAATCTGAGCTGCTGTGCATGCTGGGAGAAATGTAACTGCTGTGGTTAGAAGAGTCTTCAAAAACCCAAACGTAGAATTTGATCCAGCAATTCCTCTGCTGGGTGTATTTCCAAATGAATTGAAAGCAGGGACCCAGATACTTGCACACCAGTCCTCATAGCACTATTCACAGTGACCCAAAGGTGGAAATCTCCACTGTCCATCAACTAATACACAGGTAAACAAAACATTATATATACACACACACACACACACATATATACACACACAATGAATATTATTCAGCCCTTAAAAAGGAAGAAAATTATGCTATGCTAATCATGTTAGAACCTTAAAAACGTGATACCCAGTGAAATAACCCAGATGAAAAAGGACAAATGTCATATGGGAAATTTATACAGGCAGAAAGTAAAACAGAAGTTAGCAGGGAATGAGGGGAGGAAAAAGACAGAGTTATTGTTGAATGGTTAGAATTTCTGTTTTGGATGATAAAAAAATTTCTGGAAAAGATGGTGATGATCGACCAACATTATGAATGAACTTTTTTTTTAAAAGATTTATTTATATAGTTGAAAGGCAGTTACATAGAGATTGGGAGAGCCAGTCCATGCCACTCAGTGCAGGAGTCACAGGGATGGGACGGCCCCCAGCAAGGAAGCCAGAGCCAGGCCTGCAGTGCCGCCGTCCGAGAGCCTGCGTCGTGGTGTCCAGGCTAAGCCGCCGCCTGCAACACCAGGATCCCAAACAGGGACCAGTGCAAATCCCAGGGGCCTCACTTCTGATCCAGCTCCCTGCTAATGTGCCTGGGAAAGCAGCAGAAGATGTTCAAGTCCTTGGGCCCCTGCCACCAGGTGGGAGACCCAGATGCAGTGCCAGTCTCCTGGCTTCAGCCTGGCCCAACCAAGGCCATTGCATCCATTCTGGGAGAGAACCAGAACATGGAAGATTCATTCTCTTTCTCTCTCTCTCTCTCCCCCCCCCCTTTCTCTCTCTTTCTCTGTAAGTCTGCCTTTCAAATATATAAATAAATCTTTTTACTTAGTTGTGGCTGACCTCTGAGCCGGCATCTCTGGGTTCATGGCGCCATTGGCCCTAAGCTTCTGGAGACTGCTGGCCAGTCCTCCCTCCCCACAGCTGGTTCCTCTCCCCCGCCCCTCACTCAAGGCCATGGCCAGGCATAGGCTGGGCCCCTCTGTTTGCTTTCTCCCTACAGCTCTCCTGTCTCAAGTCTCAGCTCTCACCTCCATGTCTTTGCCTCGACAACTCCGTGTTACCACCTAGATTCCTGATAAAACCCATGATCTCTACAGGGCAACCCCTCCAGGCCTGCAGCCACAGAGAATAGGGAGAATAGGTAGAATTCTGTCATAGGGGATGCGGCTATGCACTGGGTCAGAAACTCCACGTTCGCTTTCCCTTGCATCACCTGAATACCAAGGCCAGGGACAGAGGTGAGCGGCACCTCTCACGATCGCACCACCCCTCGGCCTCTGAGCGCCTGGGCTAGAGGTCCTGGCTTCCACCAGGACACAATTGCAGCTCCACGGAACCGGACGAGGGACCCCCCTGCCCATGGGGGTCTTCATGCCGCTGAACCGGGAGCAGAGTGAAGGGGTAACCGACTGATTACGAGAAGAAATTGGGGTGCCACTGCACGGTGGAGGGAGGGGGCTGCATGTGGAGCAGAGGACGTCTGGGGTGCTCCCTGGAACGCTCACGTCCGGTCACCAACCTTGGGGACATCCAGGGCGGTCAGCAGAGGTGGGACCTCGAAGCACGCAGGGACCTCAGGAGCGGCACTTGAGGTCACCACATCAGAAACAGACCCAACAGGGCGAGCACAGGATGTGTGGGGTGAGGAGTGGGAGAGAAAGTGTGAGACGTCACCGCGGGTACACGACCCACTCCAGGTCCAGGAGGGCAGCAGCTGTGACTGTTTTCTTCCCTGTGTGCTCTGTGTGTGCTGTGTACTGTGTGTCTGTGCCTTGTGTGTGTGTGCTCTGTGTGTGTGCTGTGTGTCTGTGCTGTGTGTGTGTGCTGTGTGCTCTGTGCCTGTGTGTGTGTGCTCTGTGTTTGTGCTGTGTGTGTTGTATGTGTGTACTGTGTGCTGTGTGTTGTGTCCTGTGTCACAGGATGTGTGGGGTGAGGAGTGGGAGAGAAAGTGTGAGACGTCACCGCGGGTACACGACCCACTCCAGGTCCAGGAGGGCAGCAGCTGTGACTGTTTTCTTCCCTGTGTGCTGTGTGTGTACTGTGTACTGTGTGTCTGTGCCTTGTGTGTGTGCTGTGTGTCTGTGCCTTGTGTGTGTGCTGTGTGCTCTGTGCCTGTGTGTGTGTGCTCTGTGTTTGTGCTGTGTGTGTTGTATGTGTGTACTGTGTGCTGTGTGTTGTGTCCTGTGTCACAGGATGTGTGGGGTGAGGAGTGGGAGAGAAAGTGTGAGACGTCACCGCGGGTACATGACCCACTCCAGGTCCAGGAGGGCAGCAGCTGTGACTGTTTTCTTCCCTGTGTGCTGTGTGTGTACTGTGTGTCTGTGCCTTGTGTGTGTGCTGTGTGCTGTGTGCCTGTGTGTGTGTGTGCTGTGTGTGTGCTGTGTGTCTGTGCTGTGTGTGTGTGCTGTGTGCTCTGTGCCTGTGTGTGTGTGCTCTGTGTTTGTGCTGTGTGTGTTGT